CCCGCACGTGCCACTCCAGGCTTGGCCCCGTCAAAGCAACTACCATCACCGACCGTCGAGACTTCCAGGGGCAGCGCGCAATGGGCCCACGCGCCCCCCAAAGATAAGTTACCAAAAACCTGGCCTCATCGGGTTCATCAGTCGTCGCAGGTCGCCACGGCCAACAATGTGCGAAGCGAAGATCAGTCTTCCCCGTGCCCTGGGCCATGGCCAACACCCCCTCATCGAGATCTTCCCGCTAAGCACCAAAAAGAGGACGTTGCCAGCACCTATAATAGGTGGTGTCTCGCGCCCCGTAATACGGGCATCTGCCGGAGGTCAGATATCCCCATCGGGCGACGGCGGCGCACGGCGCATAACATCACCGAGCACAAGTTTGAGCAACAAGTTCTGGCAAGCAGACGAGGCCTCGCTGGCCATCGAGCGTCGAGGCGGCAAGGTCCACTTGCCATTCCCCAAGATCTCAATGGCTCCATCGTTACGGCTGTCGTTTAAGCGGGTGTTCAGGGCGCGCTGCAAGCGCGCATCTCTCCAGTCGGCTTCCACATCCCCCGAGGCGAAGATGGGGTCGAGGCCCGGCAACTCGAACGCGCCGCCATCTCGACCACTAACGGTGGCGACCAGGGCAGCCGCAACGAGGACTTCCCCCGCGTTGGCACGTCAAGCACGACAGGTACTCGGCGAAGGTTCTGCCTGGAGAATGTGAAACATGACACCCGGGACAATCCGAAGAAACAAATGTCTGCAATTCGGCCGCTGCCCCCCCGCAACGTGCACATGGGGCGCCCCGTCTGCCGACTTGCGCCCGTCGAAACTGCGCCTGCCACGAAAGCTCCGAGAAGCTTCTTGTCGGTAACGGAGAGAGACTCCACGTGGGGCTTGAAAGATCTGCCCGAGAGCACCCCAACGTCAACTTCGCCGATCGCCTCGGAGTCTCGCCATGTCTGGAACGCGATCCGCAGGCACCGCGCCCGCCAAATTGCTCGGGGAATCTGCGCCGCGTCCTCTTCGCGCGCCGTTCTTCGCCTGGTAGGTGCGCCCAGAGGCGCTGTCGCACGTCTGCCGGATCTTGCGCCAGTCGATGAACTCCGCGATCGTCATCTCCTGAAGCCTCGCGGAGGCACCCGCGATCCGCTGATTGAAGAAACTAATGCATCAAGGGCCAACACTCTGCGCATGGCCCACCATGGGCGCGTCAACAAACTGGGGCCATATCAACTTTACATGTTTGATTGTCATGAAGGCCTGGAGTGCAACCGGACAAGTTGGATGGCAATGGTCCCTTGTGCACCACCGCGGACCACGGCGCAAACGCGCGGCACTTGCCCGTTGGATTGCCGCGCGCAACTTCTCCGCCGAGTCAGCGGGGCAAGCTCTGATCAGCGAGGGGCGCCATATCCGCAGAGGGCGGATGCAGGATGCTGCGAGTCGCGCGCGCGCTTCGGATGATCCTGGGATGGAGCCTAACACGTGGGTGGCCGCATGCGCCCTCTCCCGCCCCCCACGCAGGCCGATTGGGCACTCTGGGTCTGTCGAGCGAGCCGCAGCCCCCAGGTGCTCGATCAGCTCGGGGGCTTCGTCGCCCGTCGTCCACGCTTCTCGCTTGCCTTGGTTCTTAACGGAATCGACCTCGCGGTCGAACTCTGCTGCGCACTGCTGATCGCCCTGCAGGAGGCCGCTGCTGCGGTCAGGGAACGGTCGCCCACGCGCGCCCGGCCGCTGACAGGTTGCCGGGGCGAGAGGCTGAGGACCGCCGCCGCAAGCGCAACGCTGTCCAATTGAGGCAGGCCGCTGTCGGGTCGGATGAACGGTGCTACAGCGCCTGAAAGGCTGCAATGCCGGTGACCTTCCCATTCTGCCAACGATGTGAAAACGACCGGGTCCGGCGCCTCAGCTGCTCGAAATGCTGCCCCCCCAATAAGATGGCAAATCTTGTTATGTTTTCACGCGAGATCCAGCTCCGCCCCCGCAGCCGTCTGACTCGCCTGCTCGAGCCAAGTCGACGTTGAATGGGCGCAGGAAGCGCCTCGCTTGCACGCGCGCCGAGCGCCTGGGCCGCCGGGGAGACCTGCCAGGAGGTCCGCCGACCAGAAGCGCAAGAGGATACTTCCATCACTTATTGGGCGCGCGCCACACTCCCCTTTCGGGGCGCCCACCGGCCTCCAAAGGAAGACCACGTCCAGCGCGCCCCGGTCGAACTGGCCACGCTGGTGCACGCGCCACTTGCTTCCTGTCACACCGAGAGTAAAGCTCCTGGTTGAGCGTCGGGGAGGTTCGCAGGATCACACCCAACTCCTTGGAGCTCCAGCCGTCGAAGCCTTGGCTGCCATGGGAACGATCAATCGCCGCCTCGAAAGCTTCCAGGGGCGGGCGCCTATCTCTCGGCGTCCTATTCTTCAGCTGGACGCACCGGCGGGCACCACTGCTGTTCCCTGGTCGCTCTCGCTTCCGCAGCTTCCACTGATGCAGTCGACGGCGCGCGTGTCTGAGTAGGGGAGTGGTCAGCGTGCGCGGGCCATGAGATCACGAGGCAAAGCGGGGGCGCCACTCCTTGGACTTCTATTGCTTCTCGCCAAATATGCCTGGCGAGAGACCTTCCAGGGCTTGGAAGTAGGTCGGGTTCCTGTGGCTCTGATCTCTGGGGCGCCCCATCCCGGGCCGCTCGCGCCAGCTGACAATGGTGGCGAGGGGGTAGCTTATCATCGGGACAGCCTGCGCCATCTGGCCCAACGCGAGGAAGGAACAGCTGATGCAAACGTATTGGCCAGCGAGGGGCAATCGTCTGATCCTTCCGCCAAGCGCCCATGGCAGCCGCCGGTCTCAACGAAGGGGGGGGGCTTTCTTTCGTCCAGTTTGTCTGTCGATAATGGCGTAGTCGGCCTCCGCCAGCGGATGCATAGCTCGCTCGGCCCTCCCATGCCAGTGCTGTCAGAGATCCGCCAGCGCGAGGCCGCCCAGCTCACGGTGGCTGAAGGGGGAGATCTTGGCGCCGATTAGATCCGCGAGCTGCTCTTTCTCCTTGTCGTTCGGCACCCCTTCCAGCACGGAAAGGGCAGCGCGGTGAAGGCGCTGTCTAGCTCGTTGGCACATGGGGATGTCCCGGCGACATCGTGCCAGCCCGCGGGAAGGAATACCAAGCACTAGGGTCGGCCCCTCGCAGCGCGGCGGTGTCGCCCCCAGAACCGAAGAGGAAGCACCGCGTAAGGGTCGCAGCTTGGTCGGGCGCCGGGGCGAGGCCATCTGCGTCAGCACATCCGAGTCCAAAGATCCGCATGCAACCCTCTTCCCAGTTGAGGTCGCCAACCACCACTGTCGGATGACCATCGGTCGAGACTGAGCGAATGTAGTTCTCGAGGCGAGAGATCCAAGTGATGTCGTGCGCGATGGGACGGTAGGCCGAGAGCAAGTGCACTGCTGCGCGCGCAAGCCGACTAGCCGATGTCCCAGGGCACGATCTCTGATAACTGGAACAATGCCCAACTTCTGACGCCAACGCATGGCCGTGCCACCGTGACCGACAGAACGCGTGGCAGAGGGCGGGGGGAACGGGCCAGGCGCGTCCCCATCCTCGCTGCCTGGCGCACTCAAGGATCCACCTTGGTCGCTCTGAATGTTGGCGGATCTCCTGCAGAATGATAGCATCGTCACCTTAGCCCGCGAAGTCCATGATGTTTTTGATTGAGTCGGGCTTGGGACACGCTCGTCACGCTGATGGTCAGGAGGCGGCGGCTGGCCACCGACTCATCTGGGCTTTCGTCGCCTCCTCCCAGGAGAGCGTCGCCGGGAGAACCAAGGATATCCAGTCGGCAACGTACCAGAAGGTCGTCGGAAGATCCAGAGATATCCAGTCGGTCGCGCGCCATGGTGTTATTGAATCGAGCCTTGGGCAAGCTCGTCACGTTGATGGTATGAAGGCACCTGGCGGCCACTGGCTCATCTGGGTTTTCGTCCCCTCCTACCCGTAGAGGGTCGTCGGGATATCCATGGATATCCAGGTCGGTAGCGCACCATTTCCCAATCCGTTGTCTGCCTCCCCTCAAGCACTTGAAGTCCGCAAGGGGGAACGCGTCGACCCTAGGCGACCTGGCGAGAGGGAAAGGTGGCTGTAGCGACGTGGTGTGGTCCCCCAGCGGACCCGACATTGATGTGCATGTCTCAAGTAACCGAAAAACCATACACACCAACTAGGTACTTTGGCTCCTCAGCAGCTTGATGTGGCCGTACTCGTACAGGTACATGTGCAGGACGGGATAATCTCGATGAGGCAACCACTGGGCGTCTCCTCAACAGATACCGTTCTCGTTCCCGCTGGGCGAGTCGTATTTTGTTGGCCTGTCATGCTCCCATCCTGCTTCACGCATCCAAGGTGCATGTCGCTGACGGGCACAGCCGATGTCAGCAGCCAGGCAGCTCTCTCAGGGACATGATCGAAGTTAGTGGGGGTGGTGTTGAACGCTTCGCTGAGCTACCAAGGCTCAACTCATCCACTTGTTTGAGAGCCTCGTCCGAGGCCTACCACCATTATTTACCACAACTCTTGGAAATACTGGCCGCCATTTGTGTCTCTCTTGGGATACGACTGCAAGCCCAACCCCCTTAATACCCGACGCCAGCAATCCCATCACGCGTGCCGCAGTCCTGCGCAGGTGCCGCATCTCCTGAGGAATGACGCCTGAAACTTCACCCCCGTAGGTAGCCGACGGCATGGCACCAGACAAAAACGCCTTGGCCTTGGCAAACATCCCTCCTCCTCCTCCTCCTCCTCCTCCTCCTCCTCCTCCTCCTCCTCCACGTACGTCCTCTCTCTCTTTTTTTTCGCTCTCTCTCTCTCTCTCTCTCTATCTCTCATCGTAACCCTCCAACCCAGAGGGCATCAGAAACTGGGGTGAAGACCCGAATCGAATCGAGATCGAAATCCCGGAGATCCAATTGACCGAAGCCGACAGAATCGAAATGACTCCTCCTCCCTCCCGTGCTGTGCGGCCCCCTCCCATGGGCGCCTGGTTGTCGCGCGCTGGCTGCATGAAGTACCCGTTGCTGTCCACGGCCGAGTACATCACGTCCACCCAGCCTGCCAGACGACACGCGGCAGGCGCCTCACTCTGAGCATCGCACGTCGCCCGAAAGGGGGCACCGTCCCTGCAGATTGAGTGTTTCCGTCTGGGGGGCTGGGGCTGCACATGCGGTGCCCCTCTCTGGAGCGCGTGCGGCCAGGAGGGCGCCACCTCCCCTCTGGGTGCAGCTCCCGCCAGGCGTTGCCCTCTGAGTGCGGTGCCCCTCTGCGAAGTCCGAACCCTCACTGTCATGAAAGGAAAAGCACGGGTCTCAGAAGACAGGGATCCCGCCGATTTGAGGCCCCTCCTCGGGCCTCGGGACCAGCAACAGCATGGCTTCGGGATGGCGGGCGGGTCCTGGGGAAGGCCCTGGGATCTAGGACCCGTTTTCCTCAGGCCATCTCGTCTTCATGGCGACCTCGAGGAGAATTGGGAGGGAAGGATACGCGCCAGACCTTGTTCCTCAATCTCGATCTCAATGTCAGCGTTTGGCGTACCCGCAATTGCTTCGTTGATCGTGCCAATCGCCCCTCCAGCCCCTCTCTTCCCCCTCCCGCTCGCCCCCACTCTCCCCTCTTCCCCTCGTCCCCACTCTTCCCCCCCCCCCGCGGTCGGGTGTCTGGATCTTTGTCACGATGTCCCCATGTACCCCGACCTTCTCCCAACGGCAGTTCTTCCCCCACCATCCTGAGGTGTTGGGCCCACGTTTTGAAGAGAGGGCGCCTCCTCCTCCTCCTCCTCCTCCTCCTCCTCGCGCCGGCACGCACTTGGCGTGTCCGACCGATTTGTCTGCTTTGCATTTGGCATGTCCCCCGCCTTCTCTGGAACGCCACGTGCGTGCCTACACTCCTGCCCTCCCGCATCATTTGGCGTGCCTGCCAAGGCGTCCAAACGGATGCTCGGCTTGGGGGTCGTGGGGATCACTTCGGGCCACCGTCGAAAGCGGAGCTGGGACGAAACATTGGCCGAACTCCCGACCAGGAAGCACCCGGGGACATTTCCGCAGGCCGATCATTTCCGCAGGCCGATCTCGACCGACAGGACCAGAGCCTCCGGGCCTCGTGAGAAGGTCGCCAGGTGCAACTAGGCAAATGTCCACAACGTCGGCCTCAGAAATTCCACTCCGGACCCCCAGGGGCCATGGGAAGACCGCCCATGACGAAAAGCCAAAAACCTGGGGAGGGGTCGAGGGCTCCAGAGGCCCACGCCGTGGCAAAACGAAAAGCAAAAGCTAAAAGTCTGAGTCTCCTTCCCAACCCTCGCCCCCCCCCCATCCACCCCCCTCGCCCCTCTAGCACTCCCATATTGCCCCCTCCTCCCGTCGTCCCTCGACTCCCCCTCCCCTCCACCCTACCTCCGGTCCACCAACAATCCCCCCTCCCTCACCCGCCCCTCCTACCCTCCTCACACCCCGTAGCAACGCGCCCTGGCGCTTTCAACTTGGACGCAGGCGATGGGGTGGCCCGAGATTAACCTGGCCGACAAGCGTCCATTCGGGGTATCCTCTCACGCGCCATTCTGGATTCGCGGCGCTTACCATGTCCAGCCAGAATCAGAATAGTTGGTCGCATCTGCTTGCGCGTCAGCCATGGGTCTACAGAGGCAAAATCGTGGGCCAACCACCGTCGAGTTTTGCGGCCACGGCAAGGCCATCAGTCCAGTGCATGAGCAATGACGACACGATCAATCTCGTACGCACTGTATGCTCCAAGTGAATATGGGCAATAAGACAGAAGGCCAATCCTCAGTGCAAAAGCGGAGACTTGCGGAGACTCTTGGAATACCGGGGAAGGCTCGGACCACTCACGCGGTCCATCTCTGGCTCCACCACCGCTCCCCCCACCGCCTCCGCTTCCAGCGCGAGTTGGGCAGGTCAAGGTAGAGCTCAAGAGGCGGGACCCTTCGGAGCCGATTGGCAAGTTCCCCACAATGCCACGCCGAGCAGCCTGTTCAATCAAAGGGTGATATTCCATCGCGTGGAGCAGGGCCTTCAGAAGTACCGCATCAACTCGCTTAAGACGCAGCTGAACGAAACTAACGACGAAACTCAAACAGTACAAAAAACGCAGAAGAAAACAGACCCGCCGCATACAACAAGCGCAGCAGGCGCAGGAACCGCGAGCGGAGCTCGTCTGAATCTGGCGTTTCCTCTTCTACTTGGTGAATCAGGTGTTCATCGAAGTATCGCAGTCTTGCAAACACACATAGTGCTTTCTCAAATGGTAAATCGGAGGGTATTCAGAAGGACTGAATAGCCATGCGGAAACACCCACGGAACATGTCTTCATACTTTTTTGTGCGGGTATCCAGTAGGACTGGAACGCAGGAAGCACCGAGCGAAGTATCCTTTCATACTTGTTGCGCGGGCGCCCAATAGGACTGGGCACTCACCGGCAACTTAGCATGGGAGGAACCCTCAATTGCTGTGCCCTGCAGTAAATCATCGTTTACGTTTTCGTTTCAAGGGAACGGAACCGAACACTAATTATGGGCCGCGCGCGTTAGCGCCCGGCTGCGTGCCCTCAGGGTTCGATGTAAGCTGGTCGGCCGAACGCACCGGCGGGCGCCCGCGGGTTCTCTCTCCTTTTGGAATGCAATCCTGTACTTTTCGGGCCCACCGTTCGGCACTCATTGGGCCCATTCGTTCACTCCAGCGTTGAAACCGGATCCATCCGAATAATAACTTGCCGCGCCTCGTTTGTAACGCGCTGTACCCATTCCGTTCTACCCACGTTTCAACGTTCCCTTCTGGTAAAACCATGCGTCGTCATCGAACCATCGCCCTGGTCATTTCGAACCGCGTGCTTTGCAGCCGTGAATCCCGTTCAGCTGTCATTACCCAGCTGACGGAGCCAAACAAAGCAGGTGTAGTCACAACATGGATCGGAACAGCCCTGTCAGTCAGCTCTTGTCTGAAAATCCCACCACCCTTTTGGGCGTAGCTGGAATAAAGATGTTAATTTCTTTTCGCTTCCAAAACCCAATTCCCCTTTGGGGAGGGGTGCATCACTGTTCCCTATAAATAAACACCCCCTCCCCCAGGCGACTGGTAGCCAACCAAGAACCATGACCCCCGCCACACAACCCTTTTTAATATACATATCAAAAAACGTTGCCTCCAAACTCGGAACATGCACAGCCACCCCGGCGCGGCCTCCCCCCACCAACCCTGTCAAAAAACAATCCGGAATACACTTGGCGGCGGCGGCGGCGGCTGCGGCGGCTGCGGTGGCGGCGGCGGCGGGCGGGGCGGCGGCGGCGGCGGCGGCGGCTGCGGCGGCGACGGCGGCGGCGGCGGCAGTGGCGGTGGCGAATGCAATTGGCAGCCGCGGCGGCGGCTGCGGCGGCTGCGGCGGTGCGGCGGCGGCGCGGCGGCGGCGGTGGCGGCGGCGGCGCGGGGCGGCGGCGGCGGCGGCGGCGGCGGCGGCGGCGGTGGCGGCGGCGGTGGCGGTGGCGGTGGCGGCAGCGGCTGCGGCGCCAGCGGCTGCGGCGGCGGCGATTTGGCAGCGGGGGCGGCGGCGGCGGCGGTGGCGGGCGGGGCGGCGGCGGCGGATTGGCCCCCAGTAGCTGCCCATCCAAAGACGACTACTGAATATGCTGAGGCTCGGGCAAGACTCGGGTGCTACGTATGTGTTGGGAGGGCGGGTGGGAGTGAGCGGGACGGTTCGCGGGAGGGGGGGGATTTTGACCCCTCCCCATATACCCCCTCCCCTGGACCTGGACGGGGCGACCCGCGAGGTGGCAAAAGGTCCTTGTTCGCACAAGATGGCTCCAAGAGAGGGCCTCCGATGCGCCAAGATGGCCTCCAAGATGACTTAAGATAGGGCAACATTGCTCAGGATAGCTGACGACATGCCTCCAAGAAACCCCAAGGTGGCCACATGACGGTTCCAAGTGTTTTCGGAAATCCGCCAGGGCCCCCAACGAAGCCCAAAATCCTTCAAACGCCTAAGGCAAATCAGTGATGTTTGCGTTCTCGCCGTTTCGTTTCCGACGCGTTTCTGTGACATCAAGTTGGCCCCACGATTGCCCCAAAATGCCCCAATAGGGGCCCAAGTTAGCCCGACGAGCTCCCAAGAACGCTCCAAGCGGGCCCCCAATGACGGTTTTGAGAGCCCCGAATGAGGGGGGCGACATAAAAAAAGGAACCCGCATATCCCACCAGCCCTGTGGGCGTAGGTGGTCTGACGATATTAATTATTTCCGTTTCCAAAAGCCCTCTTCCCCTTCGGGTGAGGGTTTCCCCCTACCCCCTCCGCTGGATTGGTTGGGCTTCCCTTTGATCGATCGCCTCGAAGATGGCCCCAAGAGGCGCCCCAGGGCTCCCAAGAGTGCCCCACGAGAGCCCAAAGAGGGCTCCAAGAGGGCCTCAAGAGGGCCCCAAGAGGCACCCGAGGGGCTCCCAAGAGGCCCCCGAGCGGCCTCAGAGAGCCCAAGATGACCTCCAAGATGGCTCAGATAGCCCAGCCTGGCTTAAGATGGCGCTTAAGATGCTCCACGCGGCCCCAAGACCGCTCCAAGGGCGCTCCAAAGGAGCCCAAAGAAGCGGGTTGCCAGCTCCTGAAGGGGGATCTGATTTGGGGACCCCTCATCCTGTAATCGATGGTCTCCAAGATGACACCAAAAAACCTTCCACGGTACCAAAAGGGTTCCACAAAAGGGCCCCCCGAACTCCCAGAGAGCACCAGCAGCAGCAGCAGCAACAACAGCAGCAGCAACCTAGTCCTCGTCCTCCTCGCCCTCGTCCTCATCCGCGCCCTCGTCCTCCGATTCCTCCTCGTCCTCATATTCCTCCTGTTCCTCCTCCTCCTCCCTTTTCCCCCTCGCCCCCACGCGGCCCCCAGGGATGGCTCGAAGAGGCCTTCCAAGGCCACCCCCTTGCTCCCAGATCTCACGGTTCACCCTGGTTGGTCGCTCTGTTTCCCTGGATGTGTCTCGTCGTCCCTTTTTCCCCGTCGCCTCTCATGGGCAGGGCTTCTGAATGGGATTGTGGGGATAGTTTTTGGCCAACGGGCTC